GCATGTGGTGCTGGGGATTGAACCATGGTTCCTGTGTTTTGGTAAGCTTGTTCTAAGTAGGTGTTTTAGACCACTGAGCCATCTCACCAGCCCATCCCACTTCATTTAAACATTTTCTTATTTCACAATAATTGTTACAGATTTTGATTCTTATTTACAGTTTTGGTTTCTCACACCAGAGAAAGTGTGGTATTTACATGTGTGTTCAATTTATTTCACTTAAGAGTAGGGTCTCGAGGTACATCTGTTACCTTGAACTGTTTTGAGCTTATCCTTATGTCAGAGTAGAAAAAGAACCACATCATCTTTATCTGTTCATCAGTTGATAGGCATTTGGGCTTTTTCCAAGATTTAGCTATTATAAACTGTGCTCCTGCCAGGGAGGTAGCTCAGCAGCATAACTGCCTGCCTGGCAAGTGCAAGGTCCCAAGTTCAATTTTCAGTAGCAAAAAATAAAAACTGTGCTCCTATAAACATGGATATATGGATATTCACTGTAGTATGATGTTTTTAATTGTTTATACTGGTAATCAAACTCAGGACCTCACACCAGGCAGGTGCTGCACTACTGACCTAAATCCTTGGCCCTGATGCTTTTAATTCTTTTGGGAAGATATCAAGAAGGGGAATGGCTGGGTCAAATGGGACCTCTAGTGCTAATTTCTTGAGGAATCTCTGCACCACTTTTCATAGTGGTTGCACCAGTGTAGCTCCCACCAACAGTGAAGGTTCCTTTTTCCTCACAGCCCCACCAGCATTTGTTATTGGTTGACTTCTTGATGACAGCCATTCTTTCTGCAAGGAGATAGAATCTCAGCGTTGTTTTAATTTGTGACTTTCAAATGACTGATGATGTTGAACATTTTTTCATATATTTATTTGCCATTTGTACTTCTTCATCCAAGATATACACATTCATCTCATACGCCCCTTTTTGGATCGGGTCTTTAAGATTGAGGGAGTCTGATTCAACATCATTGTTCAGGGAATGCATGGTAGAAGTTTTTCCCATACTTTAGTCTGTTGGTGGTTTTTCTTGCTGAATAAAAAGCTTTTTACTGAGATGAAATCCCAGTTGTTGATTTTTGTGATACTTCCTTTGTGAACAGGGTTTTATTCACTCTTTGCCTACAACAGTGTCTTCAAGAATATTACCTAGTCTGTCTTCCAGCAGATTTAGTGTTTCTATTTTAATACTTAAATCTTCAATCCATTTTGATTTTAGTTTAGTACATAGTGAATGATAACAGGTTTAGTTTTAAGGTTTGACATGTGGCTAGCCAGTTTTTCCAGCAGCATGTGTTAGAGAAGCTGTCTTTCTTCTAGTAAAGGTGTTTAGCTTCTTTGTCAAAGATAAGGTGGCTGAGTATGTCTGGAGTTGTTTCTGTCTTCTAATCTGTTCTGTTCCATTGATCTTTTTTTGCTGTTGCTGTTCTTTTTGGTCAGTACTATGCTGTTTTTATCACAGAATCTTTATAGTATAATTTCAGGTTATGGATTATGATCCCTCTCCCCACCTTGCCTTTTTGCCCAGAATTGCTTTTTCTGTAACAATTTTGGAAGTATGGCCATTTTCACTGTTGTTTCTTCCTACCCAAGAAGAGAGGCTATTTTTTAATTTTCTGATATTCTCTTCAGTAATTTTCACAATACTGCAGTTTTCAATGTAGTAGTATTTTACTTTGTTAGATTGATGCCTATGTTTATTGTTTTGGATGCTGATAATGAAAGTCATAGCTTCCCTAATTTCTTTCTCGGGAAGTTTATGACTTGTGTACAGGAAGGCTACTGAGTTTTGAGAGTTGACTTTATATCCAGCTACACTACTGAATTTGGTTATTCAAGTCTTTCGCTGGAGACCTTGGAGTCTTCTATGTAGAGTATTGACTTTCAGATGACCAATGATGTTGAACATTTTTTCATATATTTATTTGCCATTTGTACTTCTTCATCCAAGATACACACATTCATCCTCAAATAATGATGACTTAACTTCCTCCTTTCCTGTTGTTATCCCTTCTATGTATTTCTCTTGTCTAATTATCTGGCTAAAATTCCCAAAACTATATTGAGTAAGTGGTGACAGTGGACATCCTTGTCTTGTTCCTAGAAATCAGCATACTTGTAGGAAGAATTCAGATGCAGGAGGACAGTCTCGTGAGCTCCTGCCCGCCCGACAGGTGGGAGAAGAGGCGAGGGCCCCAGGCCGACCGCAGGACCCGGACTCCCCGCCGAGGCCCTGCTCCGCCCTCGCAGAAAAGGGGCTCCCGCCCTCTTAAGGCAACTTTTTTCTCTTCGTTTCTCTGCCTTTCAGTGGAAACACTCCAACACTCATTCGCCACACAGACTCCGCGTACACACTTGCTGTTTTTTTAGATGTTTAATATACACGGTGTTCAAATGAGTCAAATTATAAAATCATAAAAAATAATAAAACTGTGGTAATGTAGGAAATTATACAAAGGAACAGTGACACTGGAAGAATCTATCTTTAAAATTCATATAATTTGCTTTGCAAGACTTGTTTTTTGGAAGGGTGTGTACCTCCCTGGAAACGAACTCAGGACCTCACACTTTCCAGGCAGGTGAAAAGATTTGTTGAAGAAGATTATTTAGGGCGGGTGAGATAGCTCAATGGACTAAGCGCCTGCTTGGGCAAGCCCAGGGATGGGGTTCAATCCCTGGCACCACATGCCATGCTAGCCCCACCTCTGGGCACACTGAGCTGGCCACCGAGACTGGGCGTGGTGGTGCATGCCTGTAGTCCCAGGTCTGAGGAGGCTGAAACAGGAGGATCACTGTGAGTCTGAGCTGCATGGTAAGACTGTACCAAATACATCAAAATTTTTTAAAAATTTAAAAAACGAACAAGATTATTTAGAAGTAATCTTCCAAACTGAGGAGACAGCTCAGTGGCAAAACTGCCTGCCGCAAGTGGCAATACACACTTGTTTTTATAATCTATCTTCCATCTCCACTTCACTCAAATTACTGAAACTATTTCTATAGAATATTCGCTTACTTCTTGTCAAATCCAAGACCTTTTCTTAAATCTTTCAATGCTTCTTTGGTGATATATAGATATAGATATATCCTTTATCCTTTCCTACCCCTTGTACCACTCCTTCTGTCTTTTCTCCCCCCCCCCCCACTGGGAATCACACTCACAGCACCTTGCACGTGCCAGGCAGGCGCTTATGCCTCTGAGCTATATTCTCAGCCCCTTTTCTGTCTCCTTCATATACTGCTTTTAAAGATCTTCGCTTTGCCTTCCTTCTCTCTTGCCTTTGTTCCCTTGCAGTCCTTAAAATATCACTTTCTTTTTTTTTTAATTTTATTTATTTATGTGTGTGTGTGTGTGTGTGTGTGTGTTTGGCCTGCTCAGCCCACGGGGGGCGGGGCTGGCTGGCATGTGGTGCTGGGGGATTGAACCGTGGTCCCTGTGGTTTGCTAAGCTTATCCTGAGTAGGTGCTTTAGACCACTGAGCCATCTCACCAGCCCCAAAATATCACTTTCTTGTCAATGTCTCCCATTTTATTTTCTCTAGTCCTAATTTCCCTGTGGATTCTAGCCTATACTTCCCTGTACTTCCATAAAGTCTAGAGATCTAGCCTTTTTTTTTTTTTTTTTTTTTTACTAGGGATCAAACTCAGGACCTTGCGCTTGCTAGGCAGGCGCTTATGCCTCTGAGCTATCTCCCTGGCCTGAGATCTAAACTCTTAGTTTCAGACCAGACTCATATTTCCATCTCTAACTGCTTTTCCTTTTTTCTCTCCTGTTCATATTAAAGTAATAGCATTCTATCACACGTAAACCTCTCTATGCTGTGCAGATTTTATCATCATGAAACTCCATCTCCTACAGTTTCTTTTATTTTTTTTTAATTTTTTTAAGGTGCTTATAATTTTTATGGGTGCTTGTTCTAAGTGATTAGACAAAAGTACAAGTCTGTCTGGAGACTGTCTCACCTTTGGTACACTTTGGTGTACTTGCTTTGTTCTCATGAATTCTCTGATGTCTAATAAGCTCTGAACTCCATCTGTGAGCTTTCCCACATCCTTTACATATAAGAGGTTTCTCTCCACTGTGAATTCTCAGATGCTGACTCAGATATGAGCTTTGACTAAAGGCCTTCCCACATTCATTACTCATATGACTTTTCTCCTGAATGAATCCTCTGATGTTGAACAAGATGAGCACCCCACCTGAAGGCCTTCCCGCATTCATTACATTCATAGGGTTTCTCTCGTGTATGAATTCTCTGATGCTGAATGAGGTTTGAGCTCTGATTGAAAGTTTTTCCCACAGTCACTACACTTAAAGGGTTTCTCTCCAGAATGAATTCTCTGGTGGATTACAAGATACGAATTATAAATGAAAGCTTTCCCACATTCACTGCACTCATGGTCTTTCTTGCCTGTAGGAGTTTTCTTATGGGTGACAACCATCTGTCCAAAACTTTTTTCCTGAGCAGGGGATGGCCTTGGTCTTTTCATTTTGGGATTTCTTTGC